AACCAACAGGTTTTAGTTTCACTTATGGTTAAAACTTTTATAACCAACAGGTTTTAGTTTCACTTATGGTTAAATTTTAATAACCAACAGGTTTTAGTTTCACTTATGGTTAAACACTTATAGCATGAACTGATTTACCGGCAAACTCCAAACGATGAACAAAAATGGGGAAGTTTGGTTTGGCTGGACGACCTTCAGCTTCCGTCCATATTTCGTCAACTAGACTAAAAGATTCATTCACCAATTCCATCCCACTTCTAACTAGTTCATTTTTCCAGAATAACCACTGTGGGGTTCCAAATATGGTCATGCAATGTTAGTATCTTATAGAGGATGACAAGAAAATAACTCACAAATAAAGAGATGCAGTAAAATGAATGAAATGTTGTGGGTTAGACGAGATTGAAACAAGTTTGTTAGACTTAATGTACACTGAACAACTATCGTCAAGTCAACAAAACTAAACGTTATTTCTTTGTATAAAATGAATTAAAGAAACTAAGCTACTATTAAATCCCTTGTTTCATACAACAGGTGAAACTTTAAAATTCAAACTACTACGTCTCTTCATCAATTTGTGAAACAACCACAGACATGCGCAATGGCTACTCTGCTGACTCTTCAACCTGATAGATCATTAAGGACACTTCTATAACGCAAATGAACAAATTAGTGAGTATAGATACTGGACACTACAACCACAAAACCAGTGAGTACAGATATTTGACACTGTAAGCAGACAAGCCAGTAACTACAGATGCTTGACACTGTAAGAAAAGCTGGAGCTGGAGTATGGCCTAGTGGATCGTACGTTAGAAGTGTAAAGTTTGTTCTGGGATATCACAGGTAGCTGGAGTATGGCCTAGTGGATCGTACGTTAGAAGTGTAGGGTTTGTTCTGGGATATCACAGGTAGCTGGAGTGTACGATCCACTAGGCCATGTTAGAAGTGTAAAGTTTATTCTGGTCTAGTGGGTCGTACGTTAGAAGTGTAAGGTTTGTTCTGGGATATCACAGGTAGCTGGAGTATGGCCTAGTGGATCGTACGTTAGAAGTGTAGGGTTTGTTCTGGGATATCACAGGTAGCTGGGGCGTGGCCTAGTGGATCGTACGTTAGAAGTGTAAAGTTTATTCTGGTCTAGTGGGTCGTACGTTAGAAGTGTAAGGTTTGTTCTGTGATATCACAGGTAGCTGGGGCGAGGCCTAGTGGATCGTACTTAAGTTCGAGATATGGTGATAGTTAACAACACCATTTATTGGTAGTTATTATAGAAACCACCAATCCCGCAATTCAGTTAAGAGTAGCCATCTTGAAATAAAAATTCTTTACCTGTCTTCTGGTTCACAGTTCAAGGTTACACCTGAAGTATACCTGGTTCTCTGACCTAGCCGTTTGTCCCATTATGTAGTGAACAAACAAGATTTTGTACAAAATTTTATTATCTTCCACAAAAGAAATTAACATATCGCATGAGGAAATAACTTCTAACAAAAACGTAAACGTTGCATAAACACATTACAGGAGGAAATAAAGTCCAACAACAAACTGAAACGTTTCATAAACACAAACTAGAATTAGAAACAGAATTTCAACAACAGAAAAATGGGCCTAATTTATGGTTTAAAATGAAGAATTGTAATGAATTATTTCATGAAAGAAAAAAAAAGCTAACCCTTCTATGGCTGACAAGACGAGAATCTGCTCCTACTCTGGAACCCGAAGAAAGTTTGTTACTAATCCATTGAGGAATAGAGGGCGTCCCAGGAGTAAAATCCTTCATCATAATCCAATTAGAATCCAACTCCTGTTCGGCCTGGAGGAAGTATCGACTGTCAGTCCAGAGGGCAGCCCCATCACCTTCTTTTAGCAATACAACGGCTGTACCTGTTATTTGTGTATATGAATGTATAGCTCTTTAACACAGATCGTCGTAATAAAGTGTTAAGTAAGTCCATGAGTTTAACAGTTTCATATTTTTTTAAAAGAATCGTCGCTAGGCACTGGCACGTGGGAGCTGTGTCCCGAGTCTTTTTGACAGTGCCTCGAATCTCCAGTTTGTGTCTCGAATAGTGAAAATAGGAAAACATGATTGATATCATACTGAAATGCCAAAAATTTCCGCGCCTTAGGGGCCCGAGCCCCAAATTTTTTAAGCACTTAGCGACGCCTGTGTTTTTAACCTAAACTTTCGGCCAATAGGAAATTATCCTTCTTACCATGCACACCTCATAACGCCCAATTACGTTTCAGTTCGCATTTACTATTATTTAATCATAATTACCGGTAAGATTTACTATTAATAATAAATAAACTTAATATTCCGAAGATTGTTTAACATCGAAGTCTAAGTTATTGGGTTATACTAGTTTCGAGAATTCCCTTGAACACGAGTTGATCAAAGTGTAGATTGAACTTAGACTTCGAGATTAAACAATTATTAGAAAACTAAGTTTATTTTTTTATATCTGCTGCTATATAATGTGAAGAACTGAATAGTGGACAATGACTTTTTCTTCACTTCACCTGTCCAGTGTATAGGTTTTTCTCATAGTGACTACGAAGCACGTTCACACCAACAATATGTTTGGAACATTTAATATTATCCGATTATCTGATCAAAAAATAGGGTTATTTTAACAAGTTTTTACAGGGAGTGTTTTTAACAAGTTTTTTTACATGGTTATTTTAAACAAGCTTTTAGAGGGTTATTTTAACAAGTTTTTTACAGGGGATGTTTTTAACAAGTTTTTTTACATGGTTATTTTAAACAAGCTTTTAGAGGGTTATTTTAACAAGTTTTTTACAGGGTTATTTTAACAAGTTTTTACGTGGTTGTTTTTAACAAGTTTTTTACAGGGTTATTTTAACAAGCTTTTATAATGTTATTTTAACAAGTTTTTTTACTTGGTTATTCTAACAAGTTTTTTTACAGGGTTATCTTAACAAGTTTTTTTACAGGGTTGTTTTAACAAGCTTTTACAGGGTTATTTTAACAAGTTTTTCACATGGGTATTTTAACATGTTTTTACGGGGTTGTTTTTAACAAGTTTTTTACATGGTTATTTCCAACAAGTTTTTTACAGGGTTACTTTAACAAGCTTTTTTACAGGGGTATTTTAACAAGCTTTTTTACATGGTTATTTTAACAAGCTTTTACAGTGTTATTTTAACAAGTTTTTTTATATGGTTATTTTAACAAGTTTTTGCGGGGTTGTTTTTAACAAGTTTTTTACATGGTTATTCCAACAAGTTTTTTACTGGGTTATTTTAACAAGTTTTTTACAGGGGTATTTTAACAAGCTTTTTTGCATGGTTATTTTAACAAGCTTTTACAGGGTTATTTTAACAAGCTTTTTTACATGGTTATTTTAACAAGCTTTTACAGGGTTATTTTAACAAGTTTTTAACCGGGGTATTTTAACAAGCTTTTTTGCATGGTTATTTTAACAAGTTTTTAGTTAACATGGGACGTTTTTCTTTCACTCAATTGAAAATTTAGAAAATCTTGCTCCTTACTTACACGATGCTAGAAGTCAATTTAACACAAATATAAGAAACTCTATAACCAAAGCGCTTTCTAAAGGATGACCTTTCTTCCTCAGGAGCAAACAGAAGAATAAGAAAGGTCCTCCTGTAGAAAGCGTTAGGGTTATAGAGTTTTTTTTTATCTTTTTTGCGCCTTACTTGGGTATAATTATTATTAATAATGTTTCCAGTTATAAAAATTAAAATAGTGAATGTGGACTCGATAAGTGATGAAACGTCACCAACCGGCTGTTCCTGTGAATCCAGAGATATACTGGCGCCTCTTGTCGTAGTTGGAGATGTATTCACTCTGTAAAACCAACAAGTTATCGGCAACAACAAGTGTAATAAAATACACATTAAATCTACACATACACTCATTATATTGACTCGTTTAGATGTTGAATGAGAATAAATATATGTTAAGATCTGAAATTTAAAACAATTCAAAATACAATTACTTGCAGGAAATGAAAACTTTTCTAAACTTTAAATCCGAAAACTAATAAACTTATAATTTAGTATTTAGCCATTTAGAGGAAGTCTGGAATAGAAAGTTATTTACCCAACCAATCAACGTTTGGATACTTAACGTTCTAACCAATCAGCGTGTCGACATAATAAAGTGTTTAATGAACAGCAATTATTCCTTATACTACCCTAATTGAATACGTATAAGGAAACAAGATACGTCTCTAGCAGTTGCTGTTAACGTCTATAATGATGCCTATTGAAAAGATTTGGCAAAAATTTAAACCGAATTCTAAGTGAAATAAAATAATCATCATAAATCCAGACGAGATTTTTTATTTTTTTTTGTCTTTAAGTTGGATCACTATTGTGTAACGAACATTTGTATATACTTTTTGACTTGTTTTGATATATTGTTTTAAAACAAGTGGATTGTGTACTGTCCGTTTATTGTTGACATTCATCGCCAACACGTCACAGACACCTACTGTAAAGAATCCGCCCTATAAAACTGACAAAAAGTTTTTCAAGAGCTACCTTCTCTCTAGTCTATCACTTCTAAACTAGAAACGACTGTTACAGAGAACCCTCGAGTAGCTTTGAGCGAAATTAAATAAACAAATACAATACAACAATATACAATTTTATCTCAAAACTGCTTTTATAAATACGTGCAGATACAGAGAGCAAGTAAGAAAATAAAGTAAGTTAGTGAAAATGAAGTTAGACTGCGTGAATGTTAGTTTAGCCATAACAGGCAATATCTAAAGTGAGTTTCACAGCTTGTATTGTAACAACAGAGATAAAGAAGAAAAATTCGTCTTCAATTGTGTTCTAAAGTAACTGAACCAGTCTGTGTGGACTTTGACGAAAAAGGAGACAATTATTTGAAACTATGGATACAAATGTGATAACCAATACAGGCAACAGAAAAATGTAGAAATATCTAGCCCTCTAGTGACAATAATATTACACATAACGAGAATAACTTAGAAGCTTCGAGTAAGATGACGTCAACAATATTATAAAAGCCTAGTATGACAATTAAACTACTTACAGAACGTACGACTCGTGCAGATTACGTAACGAAACTTGTCATAACTATTGCTTTTAAAATAATTAACTTTTAACACTTGTTATGAAACTAAATAATCATTAGATATTAGATACTAAATAAACTAAATAACAACTCTTAAACTAAACGGTGTTGTATATCCAACACTCTTTTTACCGACGAATAGAAGGATCGATCATGACGTTATAACGCCCCCCACAAATCAAAAGGGGAGGATGTTTGGAGACGGGATTCGAACCCACAGAATGTGAATCAAGTGCTCTAACCACCATGCCACACTGAGTCTGTACTATAACAGATACCAAGGAAGCAAAAATTGGTTTCACTTGACTGCCAAGCATTAGCCTTACGAATGGCCAACTGCTAACTGGCTACTAATTGACTTGATAAACAGCCAACTGGTAACTAGCTACTAATTGACTTTATATATATAGCCAATTGGTAACTGGTTACTAACTGACTTTATAAACAGCCAACTGGAAACTGGCTAGTAATTGACTTTATAAACAATCAAGTGGTAACTGGCTACTAACTGACTTTATAAACAGCCAACTGGTAACTGGCTACTAATTGACTTTATAAACAGCCAACTGGTAACTACCTACTAATTGACTTTATAAATAATCAAGTGGTAACTGGCTACTAATTGACTTTATAAATAGCCAACTGGTAACTGGCTACTATTTGACTTTATAAATAGCCAACTGGTAACTGGTTACTAATTGACTTTATAAATAGCCAACTGGTAACTGGTTACTAACTGACTTTATAAATAGACAACTGGTAACTGGTTACTAACTGACTTTATAAATAGCCAACTACTAATTGACTTTATAAATAGCCAACTGGTAACTGACTACTAATTGACTTTATAAATAGCCAACTGGTAACTGGTTACTAATTGACTTTATAAATAGCCAACTGGTAACTAGCTACTAATTGACCAATGGTCATGCGGTAACTGACTGTTAGTTAGCCAACTCGGAATTCTAATGGACAATTCACAGTTGACCATTGACATAATCAAACCTTGTTAAAAAAATCAAGACTATTAAGCGTCTGCTTAATCTGACATCAAAATACAAGTTGGTGTTTAGCATAATATTTTGTAATACCTCCTAGCTAAACGTATTAAATCAACAAGCATGTTTTGAAATTAAATGAAACATCTTTAGCTCTAGCTGTCCCACCTGATGTTCATCATCAGTAGGTATGATATACGCCTGATAGTTATTCTTTGCCATCAGTTGCCGAAACCTCTTCAGTTTCAGAGATGTGTCAGCTCTCACTGAGAACTGGCCCTAGTAATGAAATACCCGCCATTAAAACATATACAAATCACACTGAAATGTAACTTTAATAATTAACCAAGTACAGCTTAATGATTACTCTCCATTAAAACTCTTTAGTGCAGTTCGAGAGACACATAAAATGAAAACCCAAAATAATGGCAAACCTCCGAAGACCGGGGTTTAAAAATGGAATATTAAATACCAAGCTGAAAATGTATTATCTAACATCCTTTATATTAATTGATATAAATAAGAACCAACGCTTTGGATCGTTTCATCCTGACGTTGCGATAGGAAGAGTCATAACAAGTATAATATTAATATAATATTATATAACATATAATATTAATAACCCCAACACTAAAACACTTGAAGATTATGATTTCTTAAGAAAAAAAAAACAACAACTTTAGTTCGACATCATCTTGTTTGTATGAGTTATCTATCGTATTGTAATAGTTTATCACCCTAACCTTCAACACGTGTTCTTCTACTTACTTTTTCCGACCAGTTAAACATAACCTGTTTCTTCTGTGTTCCATTAAAAACATTCTTGGACAGTCCATAAGAAGATACCGATCGCGCACTTGCAGTTCCAGATAGAGCGACATCTGAAAAACAAAGTAGAACATTTTAACTCAGCATCTCTCTCATACCGGTACAAAAAATTATATCAAAACAACAACCCTACTTATAGGCTTAGTAGCAGAAGAAAACTATAACTAAATTAATCTTACAAGCAGCAGCCTATACTAATTAATATTTACACATCATTACTAAATAATCCATCCACGATATGGGATTGTACTGTCTACTAACAGTCCACCAACATCATTAGATTGTACTGTATAGTAACAAACCATCAACACCATTAGATTGTACTGTATAGTAACAAACCATCAACAC